TAAATGTATTAAAACATTAACCATATTTCTCCGCCATGGCATACTTCAATTCTCACGGGGTTGTGGGGGTGTACAGGGGTGGGAGAAGTCCAAATGTTTCTCCGACTGCTACTTTAGTTTCCCCAAGGAGGGAGCATATTTGTGTTGTGCTACACCTTTAAGTGTTGATTAGGCTTTCATGTTAAGGTGACGGAAGTGTCATGCCGTGTTTCCCTTTAATGGGGTAATAAGCTGCATCAGCCACATGAAGGAAACGTTCCTTTTCAAGTCAAAAATGGCAAAAAAAAAAAAAGTTTGTGTGTAAACACGAAAAAGGCATTCTCCTCTTACTTCAGCTTAACTTGGGGAGATAAGCTGGGGCGGGGGGGGGGGGAGTTGTGTGAATCTGGAACAAGCGTTTTGCCCTCCTTCTGATACTAACATTCCCTATGAACTTCTCAGCATGTCATATACAACTCGACTGACTTTCTTTCTTTCTTTCTTTCTTTCTCTCTCTCTCTCTCTCTCTCTCTCTCTCTCTCTCCATAGAAAGGTTTTCTGTCATTTAAGCAAGAAAATAGAAGAAGAAACAAGCTTAGTATTTTAAAATCCAAACAGTCAGATAACCCCCCCTAATTTCTATGTTACTATTGAGAGAGAGTAGGTTATTTAAGTTTGGTGTTCATGGGGGGGGGGGCGAATCATTTTATTCTTTTTCTTTGCTTCATTTTGGAATAGTGGGGGAGATATGTTTTGGTCATAAATGCCTCCTGTTCCCCCCTGCCACACCCTGTTTTCCCCAGCTATCATTATTGGGTAACAATTGGCGCAAACATTATGGTGGGGGGGAAAGGGACATAAATCAAGAAATAAAAAAATAAAAAAAATAGTTTCTGCACATTTTCAAAAAACACGTCGTGCTCTCTGAGGTCCTTTTCATTTTAACCAAATCAGGGGGAACTTGTCCTCACAGCGGCAAGGCAGATGGAACAATAAATCACAGGAACCATTGACTGCCTGCAGTGTACTCTCCACAGCTGTCACTTTTGTGTCTCTTTGGTTTTAGCTGACATGGTATGAGGTCCACTGTGAACCAATCTGGACTTTTTTTTTTACAGTCATATCCATCAAAACGACCAGTACCCATCAACCTACTGCCGCGATCGATTCGTTTGCTTATTCTCACGCATAAGCCAATACTCAGCTCACTAGGTGAGGCTTCGGAGAAGCACCTCATTTTGGGGAGGGGTTTGCCTTTAGCTACAGCTGTGATTTTCTGTGCATTCTTGGCTAACGTTATTAAAGTTGCATCACGATAGATATAGAGCAAAGCAGATAACACAGGCTTTATGTGGAAGAGCAGGGATATATGCAATAATGTCACTTGGTAATTGTTGGCTGTTGCAAATGTTTCTTTTTCAGTTGCGTCAAGATGCTTACCAAGCATTGAGTTTACAACTCGTTGTTGATTTTACAAAGTAAACAAGCAAATGTTATGTGCATAACCTTAGCTGTCTTTGTAAAGGTCAGAACGTACTTGCTAATTTCTCTTCCTGCCTTTTGGTGGCACTCTGATGCCAGCGATCGCCTCCAGTGTGTTTTGGAAACAAGACGTCCTTTCTTAACAAAAGACTCAATCTACAAAAGACTGCAAAACAAAAATTGATTAAATGTGAACTGTTGGAGGAAAGTTTACTTGGTGTAAAAAAAAGAAAAAGCAAAAGCCCTGCAAGCACTAAATAGCAGGTCAGCTGTAATTTGGGCTAAAGGTTACATTATACACACAGTGATTGCATATTCATGTTGGCTAAATGAAGATTTTCTTGTTCAAACTCAAATACTAAAGGCATAACATGTGAATATAAAGATATGGAATTCATGTGAGGCTGAAGCCCCTTATATTATTTTTAGACAAGCGTTAATCTAAACATGGCCCTTTTATTCCTTTCTTTTGTTTCGTTAAGTTGATGTTTCTTGGACTATTGTAAACATTAGAACAATTTTTAACAAATCATGTTTGTGAGCAATGTGGAAGTAGAGGACGTGTGTGTGTGTGTGTATATATATCTATATTCACACATTTTAGCACAAATACACAGGCATTATTTTTGAAAGCTGTTTTCAAAACCTCTGCTTAGGTCAAGGTAAATTTATTATATTTTATATTGCTGAGCTCCATGATTTCGAATTGAGGTGACAGCTGAAAAGCACCAGAAACTTTTAGAATCTCAGAACTATATATTCCTATAAAGGAAGAAATTAAAGTCCCACTCCTAGAAGGCAAGTAATTGCATTTTAAAAATACAAACTTAAAAGAAGCATAACAAAACACCCCTTTCCCCCTTAAAGATTTACATTAAGAAAATACTTTTTCCATATGTGGACAATTCATGCACACTGCTTGTAGTTTAAAAAATCTCTTTAAAATATTTTTTTTGCATGATAACGTAAAGATGTTTGGTCTTGTAAACTATATTCCCACCCACTTTTTAAAAAAGCCTTTGATGAGTAAGTGTTCCAATGAAATATCATTAGTGAACCCGGATATAGCAAGCACAGATTCATGATGAGAAAGCATGAGCAACAAAAATTGCCTCTATTTCCATACAAGGAAGGGAGAACTAGGGATAGGTGGGAAAGTTGATTTTTAAAAAGTCCAACTACTACTACTACTACTACTACTATTACTACTACTACTAATAAACCTCTTAACTTTAACCAAATCATTCTTATATGTTTTTATCAGTGCTGTTGCATGAACCGAAAGACACTGTTATAGACCAAATGGTGCCTTCCTTTACAAACTACAAAATTCGAGTGATTTCACTCATAGCTGTCAATGATAGGCAAATTGAAAGTAATCGAAAGCAGAGTGTAAAGCAAGCAACATCCTATTGGAGACACTGATTCTAGTACAACCAGTGGCTCTTTAAAAACCTGAATAAAGGAACACTCCATTCTGAGTATGTAAACATGCCGTGAAGCAAAGATATATGAAGCATCACAAGCTTCTGTTGGATGCAAATAAAAGTTAGCAACTGTGAGCTCTTCCTGGAGTCATGGATTCTACTGCTGCTATTCACAAAACAAAACAAAACACCCATCCTTTGAACTCAACAAACATTTTGGCAAAATAAGGACTGCAGAATATAACATGATGAGAAACGGACTTTCAATGAAGGCCTTAAGTCACTAATGTATATAAAAATAAGATCTACAGATGGGAAAGGTCAACAGTCCCAAAATATTTCCATTTTGAAATGAGCACATTTTAGAACTGGGTTTCTGGTATAAAGAAAGATCTCTCTGTATGTTAGTCCTAACAGCAACAGAAATTAGTATGTTTTCTATGAATCTTTTTTCCCAATTTGCATTCAGCAAAAGTGCAGTTGCAGCCAAAAATCCTGCAAGGGGGAAGACTGACAAGGAAATTTCTTCATTGGCTCGGTATGATAAATTTGGATGGCTCGTAAAGTCTAAGCTAGCAGTTGCAGCTGTTTCTTTTCTCAAAAAGCTAATCTTGCAAATACTATTGTACACATGCTTAATTTGGAACACTCAATCTCACAATTAGCTTGTTTTTTTTAATATTCAAATGACTTCACAACATCTTTGTTTACAGTATATCTGCCTTCTATAAAGGAAATGCCCCGAATTCATCCCAGTAAAATTTCAAGCTGCTTTCTGCCTATATTTTGAGCATCTCTTTATCTGTTCTAATTTTTGAAAAATCCAGTATATTGCCTATGAAATCTGTTTTTCCTTTAAAAGCTATGATTCTTAAGAAACACACAGTAAAATGTACGATGCCAACATTTGCCTGAACAGGACCACAATTAGAAATGCATTTATACTGAAACCTATAATTTTTTATAATGTGATGCTTTGTTTTCATTTTTAAATGAGAGGGGGAGAGAGAGAGTCTATTCAAATTACAATTGAAAGCAGAGGAAACTAAATTTCGTATATATTAAGCCATGGTGCTGTCAGGGCAGGTTTTAGGACAGAAGTCAATGTAGCCACTCTACAAAATAAGTACCCCCCCAAGGCAGCATGCCTGGCTTTATTATATTTTGAAATTAATTAATACACATTACAATCTAAAGAGTGAAGGTAGGGGTGTATGATCATGAAGTCCAGAGTCTTCACTGTGCCACTGATATTAAGATTGGACATCCCATTCCTATTGCCTTTTTATGATCTGGGTCACAATAGCATTTATTCCATCTTCTGATTGGTCAGCTTTGCTGCTAGGTTGTGCAAGAATAAGGAACTATGGCTCCTGGTTTTAATGTTTGGATGAAGTAAAAGATCACAATGGTGTCATATAGAAAATACCCCGTGGGGTGAAGCTGCTAGGATTATGGCCACTGCTACTTCAGCTTGAGGGTCAGGAACAGAAAATGGAGACCAGAGGACCCTTATAACAAATGCCCCGGCATGGTCAAAGAAAGCGGCAAAATAGTCATTTATTTCGGCATCTTGTTCTGAATGGTGGTAAAACTGGGGCAGCAACTCAGCTGTCTTAACAAAACTGCATAATTAAGAAATGAAATTTTATTTCACTGGGTTTGATAATATTTGAAAGGTTTATAGGAGAGGGGTTTTTTTTCTTTCTTTAGTGGTTGTCATCTGGGACAACTAGACTTGCTGATTTTGCTTTCTGGGTGTTCTCTCATTCCGTGTGTGTGTGTGTGTGTGTGTGTGTGTGTTTGAGAGAGAGTGAGTTAGTTTACAGGTTATTAACCCTAAATGTTGCTGACACATTTAAAAGGTTGAGTCTTAGGGAAAAGTGTAGGATTGACATATATGAATACTGATTAAGCAAGTTCAAATGATTAAGGAAAACAGGGCATTCCACAGTAATGTCCTTAACTAAAACTATTTGTGGAGAGTAAGTAGTAACTAATTGCATCTGTTGGCTGAAGGTGGAGCAGGTTTAGCATTTCCATTATGTTACAAAATTAACAGTTATGAATTGCTTATTTTGGAGTTATTTCTTTGAAAAATTACTCAGAGGCTTGTATTGGTATTTTATTCTTTTTCACTACGGAAGAATTGTTGCACAGAACATCAAAACATTTCAAATGATACAAGAGCTATATTTAGCTTGTTATCAATGAAATTCCAGCAGGGATCTGCATCTTTTACAACGCCCCATGCATCTGTGGGAAGAATTTTAGACATCTGTAATTGCTCTGCCTTTCCAGTATGGCTTTGGGGTATCAAGTGCTACTTTATTTGAATATCATAAGTAGCGAGTTGCTCTAAGCAAAGAAACAAAAACAAAAAACCAGCACACACACACACACACACACACACACGTCAGTTGCCCAGGTGACATTTTGTAGCAAACAAGGAAATCACAACTCCAGGAAGTGTTGTATTTTATGCCAACAACAATATGACAGTTTTCTCTGTAAAGAAAACATGACACTTTTCCAAATATCAGAGGATGCCTCCGCCGCTCCAGGGATTCCTGTACTGTCACTGAAATGGAAGGTCACAGGCTGGCTTCATGATTTCTATAGTTTCAAAATGTTGTGGTAGAGCGTCTCCACGCTAAATGCTGTAGGCTAAGGGAAATCTCTTCCTTCATCTCTGAAAGGAGTGACAGGAAGAAAAAGGTCCCGCTTTGACAGCAGTAACCTCTAGGTCTGGAGGTGCTGGCCCTAGCAACTCTGAAGTGAAATTACCTATGTTAATATGTTGTTGTCTCTGTCTGGTATATAAATACACACATACGTGTGTGCGTGAGAGAGAGAGAGAGAGAGAGAGAGGAGGAGGAGGAGGAGGAGAGGGAGAGAGAATGTGCCTTGTGCTCTTAGAGAACATACTTTGAAAGCTACGGGAAGGAAATGTATTCGAAAACTCCGTTCTATAAGCAGTGCTTCCAGAAAGCATTGGGCTTGGTTTATTCTCAGCTAGCCTAACCAGGTGGAAACAAGGCCGGCTTGAATAACTGTATCCCCTCTTGGAAAGATAACCCTAGTGTTTAGAGGGCTGTGACAAAAGTCATGGACACGGACAGTTGCTCCATACATTTCTAGTCAATTCATGAGAGGAAGGGGAAGCAGGGGTCTCTGTATATATACTGACACTTCCTAAATGTTGCGGCTGGATTTGTGTTTTTTCCCCGGGAAGGGGTGGAAACAAGTGAGCATAGGCAATCACTGTTGATGACACTACAGAAACACACAGCAAAATCAGAGGGACACTTCCTGTCGTCAGGCTGGAATGTATCCTGAGGTTTCGACTTCAGCGCCGCCAGTCCCATCCAAAGCAAGGCAAAAGTCTCTGAAATCCATTTCTCAGAAGACGTGAATTTTCTGTTTCCAACTCTCAAGAGTCAAACTGCTGTTTGGCACACCGAGGCATAATTGAATGAGTAACCTGCTGGTTGCTTAAAGCCAGAAAAGAAAAGAAAAAGATTTCAGAATATGGAAAGAATTGAAACCCATTTGTTCCTAGCGTTCCTCCTCTCTCCAAAGCACTCAGATCAAAACACACCTTACTCTATAGATTATATACTTCCTGCTGCCCATTTTATAAGCAATAAGAATTTAATAACTGAGGGCAACTCTATAGTAATATTTATATGGGTCAAGTGGCTTAAAGAGTATGCAATAAATGTAACATTATGAACCACATTGCCCCTTTTTAAATAATGCAGCTTGAACCACGGTATTATGTTTCATATTCTGGGGGAAAAAGGTGTCTCAGCATACGCTTTTGGAATACAACAGACATGAAAAGTTATACTGATCCCATAATAAAATCACTGCCTGTTTAATATGGTGTGTTATGTAGAGCTCCAGATCTTAATAGCAGACCACAGCAAGAATGTCCCAGATGATATCAACAAAACCTTCACTTTCTCATTAGCAATCAGCAAATTCTCCTGGTGTCTGCTAGTTTCAAATAAGGGCAAGTGCCTCTATGCCTTGTGTGAAGCCCAATAGGATCATAGAAATAATGTAGTCTAATCAGCAGTGAACACATGAGAGCCGGCATTCATAACAGAATGAAGGGAGTTTGGTGACTCCTATTCAGCAGCTTTTAACAGTTTCCAACATTCTGAAAAGGAAGCCTGCCATGTTGGTAGGAAGTGGAGAATGGAAGATTTCTGCCCTTTACAGCTTGCCCTAAATGTCTTATTCATCTATTGTGATAGGAGAAAGCATGCCATTATAAGTGACTGGGTGAAGTAGTGGCAAGAGCATATCTCCAAATATTTAAGAATAATATGCATTGTGCGTATCATTGGTGTTCTGAAATGCAAATAAGTCCTTGTAGTAGTAGTAGTAGAAAAGGTGTTTCTTTCAGAGGACAGTGAACTTTTGTGATAGTAAAGCTATAACACAGAAAAGTTATTGATGCAAAATATAAACACATAAACACACCCACACACCCACACACACACCAATTCTTCTAGCTGTGATCCTCAAATAACTTTCTGTGGAATGCATGATGGCAGATTGAGCATTTGCAGCACTGTGGCCTACAGGTATATATTTCTGTTAATTACATTTCCTCCAGGGTAGCAAACATGATCCTCCCTCCACCATTCCCAGTTTTACCTTCACATGCCTGTGAAACAGTTTAGCCTGAGAGTTTTTAGGTCTGATTTGTCCTGTGAGCATCATGGAAGTCAGGAGCTGCTGTAGCAGAACCAGGAAACTTTGATTTGATGTGATTCTATGTGCAGCTGCACCTATATGTAGAAGCTGGTGAACTACCAGAGCTTGGAACATCTTCCAGGGAGTGGTGTATTTTCATGATCCAGACTGAGATCCTGGCCATTAGACCTTCCTGAACAGGAAAGGTGCTGAAAGGCTCCCTCTTTTCAGATGAGACTTTGCCTTAACAGCAAGGTCTTCCTGGCTTAGAGGTTTTTGTGTATTTCTCGTGTGGTTCCTGGTTGTAAGAATGTAAGAAGAGCCACAGTGGATCATTCCAAAGGCCCATCTAATCTAGCATCCTGTCCTCATGGTGGTCAACCGCCTATGGGAAGCCCATAAGAAGGACCTGAGTGCAAGAGCCTTCTCCCCATTTGTGGTTGCAATTATGCAGAGGCAATACAAACATGGGCATAGCCTGGATTTTTTTTGGGGGGGGGGCGCAGAACCTCCGTTAGCTATGTATTTTTATTGATTTTTATTGATTTAGTGGGGGCAGCTGCCCCTCCCTGCCTCCCCTTGGCTACATCCATGAATACAAACATCTTCCTCTGATCCAACTCCTGGTCTTGTTCTCCAGGCCTTGCACCCTGATGTTGACTACTTGGCTAAACTCTCGGGTGCCGACACCTACCCACAGCTCAACCTTAACAATGGCTGAATGTAGATTTGAATTTGACCATATACCTCTTAAGGTGCTATCAGACTCCACTTTGTTTTGCAAGTCACTGCAAGCCTTACCGCTACTGGCCTGCCATTTTATTATGTGGTAAGCACAAGTCTTGCCATGTTTCTTTCAAATCTGCAGTAAGTACTGGGGGCATGTACTTTGCTATTGGTTTTGGGCATACCCTTATAGCATTTCTGGTCCCATGAATAAGGTTATTACAACCTCTGGGTATCCTTTGGGTAACCTATGGGATCCTTATCAAACTCGAAGAATACAACACTGACTTGCTGTTTCTTAATAGTACACTCAAGGCAAGTTTCAGTGCTACTTGTGCTTTAGGCAGAATAACTATAGTTTGGGTATCGCGATAAAATCCCTAGAGGTTAGCCTGAATCCCCCCAGGCTCTAGACTGGGCAGTTGTGACTATAAACGATTACTTCAGAACAATTGATTTGTGCTTATAGAATATCCCTGTCCCTTTACTACAGGCTTCCTCAACCTTGGCCCTCCAGATGTTTTGAGACTACAATTCCCATCATCACTGACAACTGGTCCTGCTAGCTAGGGATCATGGGAGTTGTAGGCCAAAAACATCTGGAGGGCCGAGGTTGAGGAAGCATGCTTTACTACATAAGGGCATGTCTAGACTGGGGACTCGGCTACATTAGTAAAGAAAAAACATTTTATATATAACACTGTGACAACAGATGGCACTGTGGAGTCCCATCTTTTGCCAACGTGATTTTGCACTATGAAGGTTAGAACGCATTTTCCTGAAACACTTTTTTGATGTGTCTAGCTCCAGCCTGGGTTTTGCAATGGTTGGTTGCGCTGAATCAGTATGTCTGACCCCTAGAAGGCCCTTGGGACATATCGGTCCTTGTTATGGTTAGGGATAGTCTGAAAATACTAAAAGGTACTGCATAGCACTATATCCAGGTGCTAGCTGTAATTTCTTTGGCTGAAGTACCTCTACCTAGCACTTTTGATTTAGTCTTGGAGGTGACTGAGAGAAGTTGCTATGCAAACACTGCGAACTTTCTCACATAGAAGGATATATACATGTCAGAACCTGAGGCAATCAGGAAAGCAAGAAGCCATGGTTGTCAAAATGTGAGGCAATCCTCTCCCAGGATATATGGGCAGTTGCTCTGGGAAGCTGAGATGGCCCTCGCTCAATATTTTGCATGCTCCTTTACATGATCAGGAAATGGACCAAATGCTTACCCCTTGGGCCTGGTGCACTACCGACTGCCATGTTGACTGGCTGGTCTAATGAGGTACCTGGCTATTTTTCATGGGATTTTTAACTGTTAAAAGGTGCTGCAAGATTTCTTCAGGACTATTCCAGCACAATAAGAATAATAATAATCTAACTGGAAATGCTTCCTTCCATCTGTTTTGATTTCCCAAGCCTTGCAACATCCCTTGAGCTACTTAGGTAGAGCAGAACTGAAATTATGATTTGAGCAGGGAATTCCTGATGTCATGCAGGCCTCATAATGCTAATGTGGATATGGGATGTGCGCACAAAAGAGAGTTAGCTTATGAGGAGGAGGTGATTAACCTTTCCTGGGTTCAAGACAGTTTACATACAATACAACAAAACAGAAAACAGGAAAGTAAAAGAACAACAGGCAATTGTAGCGCAAGCTCTGCAGGGCTGGCCCAAGACATTTTGTGGCCTGGAGCAAATTATAGTGCCCTCTTCCCATTCCACATACAGAAGCTGATTGGACTGACAGCTGCATCGTACTTCAACACAGATGATGGGGCAGCAAGCTTCATTACACCTGAGGCACCATGTCAGTTTTGAGGGCCCAGGAGAGGTCATGCTGCAACAGAGGGGAATGGCTGAAGGTCTGAGGAAGAATAACCAGCTGCTATGCTGGCCCTGTGCATCTGCTGCCTCAGATGGTTGTCTCACTGTATAATGGTAGAGCCAGTCCTATCTAGATGTTGATGACTTTACTTGTGTGTAATGGTGATAAACAGAGCATGATTGGTAGAGTAGGGTCTTACATGGAGAGGTGGTCTCTAAGGCATGTTTGTTGCAGGCCATGAAGATATCAAACGAGCATTTTGAACTGGGCCTGGAAAGGCACAAGCAGCCAGTCTGGTTGCTGAAGAAAATGTTGGGTATGTCCTCACTTGTCTGCACTGTGGTTGTCAGGAGGAATGCTGCAACATTATGGGTGGCAGCGAACTAACTTTTACTCAGAGCAGACCCACCCAAATTAATGAATATGGCTAAATTATGTCCATTAATTTCAATATGTCTACTCTGGGGTAAAACGCCACCCTATCCAGTCAACGTCAAGGGCAGTGCCATGAAAAGTATTGTTGAAGATAAGGATCGTGCAGACACCTCTATTCTGAAAAGGTTTGGGACCTTTGGAACAGGTGCAGTTGATGAAATGCACAGCCAGTACAGTGGTACCTCAGGTTACATACGCTTCAGGTTACATACGCTTCAGGTTACAGACTCCGCTAACCCAGAAATAGTACCTTGGGTTAAGAACTTTGCTTCAGGATGAGAGCAGAAATCGTGCTCTGGCGGCGCGGCAGCAGCAAGAGGCCCCATTAGCTAAAGTGGTGCTTCAGGTTAAGAACAGTTTCAGGTTAAGAACGGACCCCCGGAACGAATTAAGTACGTAACCAGAGGTACCACTGTAATTGCTACTACCCATCCTTACAGAAATAACAAAAGGTCCGGGAGAATTTCAAGTCCTCAAAACTGCATTGATGGCCTTTGGTGCAATGTATGTCATTGATGCAAAACAGGCAGGGAAAAACACCCATCATGAGCACCGGGATTGCCAGTTAGGCTATTACCCTTAAGCAACAATGGCAGGGAAGTAAGTGCCACTGAACTCAGTTGTTCACATTTCTAAGTAAACATGCTTAGGATGAAAGTAGTTTACACTTGACTTTTGGGAGCTCTTGTGAAGTCTGCAGTTTGCGTAGGACATCCTTGTGTGGAAAAGCGAAAGGCAGGCTGCATTATTGCTGCTACAGGGATTTCTTGGACCATCCTGAGAAAACAGTCGCAAGCTGCATGGAGGGTAGCAAGAAGTACAGGTTTATGGCCTTTGTGGCGATTTCCTTCATACATGCTAGCAACTCCTGGGAAGCCTCTGGATATGAATATTGTTCTGAAAGGGAGTCAGAGGCTGACTGATTATTATGACAAAGCTGAATGGACTAGAAATATTTTCTTACATTTATATCCTTCCTTTCTTCTGTCATGGATCCCAAGGCGTTCCCCAGTCAGGCACCCACCCAGGCACTGACCCAATGCAGACCTGCCAGGTGGTGGCTTCACAAGCCTTTGGACCATACCATGTTCCCTGCTCAGGTTTTCAAGAGCCAATGACAGTCACAAATTATGTAATATTCTTAATCCCTCTCAGCCCCCATGCATTTCAGGCACCTGTATAAATAAGGGGAAATGAGCGATAAAGAGAGAGATTAGACTGAGTTGTTTGACAATGGCAGAGAGCCACAGCATTTTTAGCAGCTGGGACGTATCACTGAAACCGGAGCTATGCCGTTTGGAGACAGGATGAGCTGTGGAAACATAGGAAAGGACAGATATATCACTAGGCTCTATTTTGAAGTATCTCCAGTCTTCAGAGGGAGTCAATTACAAGGAGGGTCAGTTCCCAGAAGTAATGTAGTCCTTCTGTAATGGGTGTCTGTTATTCTGTACTAAATAAAGACAGATGAAAGAAATAATGAAACAAGAGAGAGAAGGGAAATCTCCAATCAGGGCTCACAGACATTCCTTTCATATGTAGGTACCACCAGCATCTTCAGAATTGTGTTTATAATTTTGCAAAAGATTTAAATAGGGACCTGTTGGCTATTCACATTTGCATATTTCTGAGCTACTTAGCTGTTTAAGGACAAAGATAACAAAATAGTACATATTATCCAAGCTTTCAAGACATCAAAGATGTATTCTTCAAGCCCAGAATATTGCTTAAAATGACACTTCTAAGCACAGAGCCTAAGAAGTGTAGTTAAGGATTGTAGCTTTCATTGTATCCAACACATAAAGAAGGGAGCCTTTGAGGTGTTAGAACCTTGTTTGACTGTCTTTTCTTTTCTTTTCTATTCCTTTGCAAGCTTAAAAAGGTATCATTAATAACACACTGATGTCTCTCTGTTTGTTCTACCTCACAAGGCACTTTCCAAACTAATTTTGAGAAAAGCTATTGAAACCCTTAGTATTTACTTGATTTTACACAATGATTTCCCCCCACAAGACACCTGCTAAGCAAGAAGGGTAGAAAGCTATTTACATAAACATGTTTAAACTTAATAAAAGAGATGGTGTTTAAAGAGCAAGGGAAATCAAAGTGTTCGCACACTCAGAGGCAGCAATACATGAACAAGTAGCCAGGCTTCAGTGGAACTCATAAAGACAGCAAAAAGAATAATTTAGACTGTGATCCTATATCCTGTGTAAGCCCCATAGATTGCAATCCTAACCACATTTTACTAGGAAGTGTCATTGAATCTTCTGGGATTTGCTTCTGAGGGGAATCTGTTTAGGATTACACTGTAAATGAACTTTATAAATGTAAAACCACATCTGGATAAAACCATTTCTATCTTATTATCATTTCTTTCAGACCTATGCCAAGAATCCAAGTGAAAACACAGCAGTGTGGCTGCAGAACAAAGGCAAGGTTAGGGCCTGCCTTTTAAATGTGGGGTAACAAGCAAAGCAGTCTGTAGGCTCCTATGTATTAATGAGGTGGCTGAAATTATTTAGCTTACGAACATGAAAAAATATTTTGCTAATAAAGCTTTGGTTCACTGGCAGTAAGAGAAATGCTCCAAGGGTGAGCTTGGAATAATGTTTTCTAAGCATGTAAGAAGAATTTTGGGGGACCAGGCCCAGATCCATTTATTCAGTCACCCTGTTTTCCAACAGTAGTGAGCTAGTCACCTCCAGGAACTGCACAAGCAAGATGCAAATGTGACTGCTTTCTCCAGACCTGGTTTATTCCCAAGAGGTATCCTGTTGTTTAACATGCAGGTTTCAGTGTCATGTAGTGGTTACAGCAGGGATGACTAACCCTGTTTAGAGTTTTAATCCAGCCCTCAAAGCAAATGTTATGCCCTCCCAACTCCACTGATTTTGGTGGCGACAGTAGCAAAGAGAGAGAGAGAAATTAAACAGACCAGAGTAAGGAACTCCTAGCTTCTAAGCCAAATTTGACCAAGCAGAGGTCTCAATTTGGCCCATAAGCAACACCTAGCTGCCGCATGTGGTGACGGAGGAACAATTGGAAGCTTTAAGTGATAAACATCTGCTCCCCACTCTAGGCCAAAGAGGTTCCCCACCCTGGAAGCAGATACAGCGCTGGCTGGGGTAAAACCTGATGAGGATTCAAACAGCCCCCTTTCTGGTCGTCAGATAGATCATTTCACGAGTAGAGAGAGGGTGATAATACACACACCTCTCCTCAACTGAACTTCATGGAGTTGCGTTTATGTTTGCCTCTGTGTGAGAGACAGTCCCCAGAGAAGGGCTGGTGCGGCCATTGGACAGAGTAAGCCAATTACCTCAGGTGGCAGTTGATGAGGGATGGAACCAGTATCTCCTCCTTGGCTGTTCTCTGTTGGAGGGCAGAAGTAGATACGCCAGGTGGCCTGCGCTGTATACCCTGAATGAGCTACCAGCCTTCATGTGTGCTGAAAGATGCTGTTATCCTGTTGCCAGTGTTGACGATTGCGTCAGCCCTCAGTCCAGTCACCTTCTGATCATGGACAGGGGAAGCACTATCTTGCCTTTTGCCTCTGGCAGCAAAATGTCATAGGCCAGTTCAGCCCCAGAGGGTTGGTCAAGGGTGAAAGTGACCCTTGGGTGAAAAAAGAAGAAGAAAGGTTAGCCATCTCTTGGGCTTGGACTGGAGAGACCCATGCTCAACTCCTTGCTTAGCCATGAAGCTCATTTGATGACCTTGGGCCAATCTCCTTCCTCTGTTCCTAGTCTACCTTGCAGGGTTGTTGTGAAGATAAACACTGAAGGGTAAAGAACCACATATGCTGCCCTGGGTTCCTTGGAGGAAAGGTGGGATATAAATGAAATAAATTAATTTAGTAACCATGGCATACAGCTATTGAGCACACCCTCTGGGCTTATGAGATTTTACAATCCCCATTCAGTAGTCCCAACCAGGAGCCATCAACACACCTTGTGGCAGAGCATTCCATAAGTTGAATTGGATAAGGTAGTTTTCTAGTTCTGTTTTTCCTCCGAGAAAAAAAAAATTGCCTAGAATGTTTGTTTATTTGTTTGTTTAAACCCAGTGGCAGCTGATGGGCATTAAACACATTTTGAGCTTTAATATTTTGGAATCCAGGGGCAAAATTAAGCCACAGGCGCCATGCATTTTCTGGACCCCAGGCCTCCACTCCCCCCCCATACATATTCTTAGACGAGAGGCATATATTCCCTTGAAGCAAATGAAGTTTTTAAAAGAATACTAAGTAGGAGGGCTATCGTGGGGGGATTTGTCACAAGCACTTACACAAGGTAAAATTAGAGCATATGATGCATTGTGATCTGCATGCCACAGTAACTTTGGATGGCAATGCTACAGTAAATGCCTTTGAAGCCTATAAACCATAAAATTTTAATCATTAGCAACCTCCTGGGGAATCTAGCGATAATACCTATAGGACAACTTACAGCTTTTCTGTCAAAAGTAGGAAGAGGCCATGTAATAGCATGGTACGAGCCCTGTTGATCTCTCATTTCTAGCATCCGAGCGGTCAAAGCTGAACTTCTCTTTATTAAGCTCGCAATTAGGCAGCCATATGTTGTGAATGAAAGAACGGTTATCGGACTGGGGTTGGGTTTTCTTCCTCTCTTCCTCTCTCTCTTTTTAAACCATTAGGCTCATTGTCTCTGTATTTGTTTCCTGGTTGGCTCTGCCTTTGAAGAAATGTTTTCTCCCCCCCCCCGCCCCGCGCCCGAAATAATTGACGGTTAGAAAATTAGTGTAATAAGGCTCAGAGAAAGAGAATTAAAGGTGGAAACGAATTGGGTGTGTGCATTTAATATCAGCAGCAGCAACAACTACAACAACAAATAGTTATGTGGATTCTTTTGAATAAATGTTGGCCTTTAAGTGCCAGCTGTCATTCTAAGCCCAGCCTGCCTTCTTACTGCTAACCTTTCAGTCACCTCAGCTTGTCTTCCTAACTTGTCCTATTATGCAGTAGCAAGCTGAGTCATTGTTTCAAGCAGGAGGTGACATGTTAATAGCTTAATAATAGTATAATCTCACAAATAATAATATGCTGTCACACTGTCTGAAGCACAATGTTTACAGGAGAAGTGGTAATGTATGATGACAGTAATTTGAATAAAAATGAATTTACTGCTCTTGTCTCATTTGCAGTAAATTTTCGCATCTTTCATGCACAACTGGTGCTCCATGACCTCTTTCATTATTGTGTTCGCAGTGGCTGCGGCTCGCTTTAAACTGAAAGGCAGGCAAATGAAACAGAAGCTTAACAAACGGATTTCCAGGAGTGAAAGAGAGAGAGAGAGAGTCCTCACAGTGGTTTTTGGAAAGAGCAGGGTGCCTTGGAGGGAGAATTTCCCTACATTTGTTTACTAAGATGATACGGTGTGAGGCAGGCTGTTTAATTAGTGCGCTCTGGAGGTGCCATTTGTAAAGCAAGCATGTGCTGATATGATTATGTATTGACAATTTACAAAATTATTGCCATTAAATTGTGTCAGAGGGAAGAAAATTATTCACCACGTGAAGAGGCTCATTTGATGCGAAATTAAAGTTTGCACTACTTTAAAAGTATTTTTTAAATGCTAGGGATATTATTTGATATGGGGGCATCTAATCTCAGGCTTCCTGTTTGACGGAGAGAAGTGTCAAAAATGTACTCACTTTATTAGATTCAGTGAATTATAAATGCTCTCTGGTATGATAAAGGGTTATTTGAACTCCCAAATGCTTCCCAAATGGATAATAGTGGTTTGATTTACATGAAATAAAAACAATTTAACCAGATACCGATCCACCCTAGTTTAAAATTTTTAATTGTTGGCTACTTCAAAGAAGCCACCACAGTGTAATGATGGAAATATTAATTATTAAATATTTAAATTGTTCTATATAATACTTTAGTATAGAATTCCTGAGAGAGCTAACTTTTTTCTTAAAAATTAAAAAGTATTATTAAATGATGTTGAAGATTGTATAAAAACAGGGAAGTTTAAAAGTCAGAGACTGACATGTCTGGACTAAATTTAGTTTGATGGAATGAGGACAACTAATTGAAATGTCCTTGGTGTTGTTCTTTTTAAAAAAGTGAAAAGGATGAATTTTCAGAAAAGTGCTACACTTCATATCAGTGCAAAGTGAATGACATGCAGAGAATGAGAAATGATACTTCTGATTGACCCAATTCATTGCTTAAAATAATTAAAACCAAAAGCAACTTGCACATCTCATTTTTTGCTCTTATTTCCAGTGAATGCATAGCGCTAAACACTGTGCCAAAAAGACCAAGTTTTGGATGATTCAATTAAGTGATGTTAATTGAGGCCTAGCTAGGCTGCTTGATGAATATTTCAGGAAGGGGTATATGTGTGTTTTCACTTCTAGATTATGATTTTGATTTGCAATGTCAGGGAGGGATTTAATTTTGCAGCACAGCTTTGGTTGCGGTGATGGAATGGAGATAGGGTACAGCAGCATTCAAAATAGCTATTTTTGTTTGCAAAACATACTGAATACTCTCCACTCATCAACATGGTATCAGTGAGAGCCTGAAATTCATTGCTTTGGTCCTAGGAGATCAATCTGGCCATTTCCCCCCTCATCCAGACTGCAAAGCTGGGCCTAATTGTTTCCCACTGTCACAAATACAGCTTATTTAAACTTCAGAAACCACTAAGGAGACCGACAATTGTGGCATCAGCCACAAAGCAGGCAAAAAGAAAGGAAGGAAATCTGAAGTGTGTTATCTCTCAACAGAGTTGCCAACCACCTCAGGGACAGAAAACCTGCCCTGTACTCCTATGTGGGAAATGGCACAGTTCAATTTAAGCTTAATTTGAAACAGCTCAGCTTGAGGTTCGATGAAGAAGCCTCTCATGGATTTACTCAATGTTCCTCTTCCACTTCTGATTGGGAAAATGTTGCCCACGATCCAAAGGGTTTTCGTAGGGTTGCCACCTTGCCGTAGCAAGGCTGTTGTACTTTTAACAGCTGGATGAAATGAAAATGGAAAGCACAACCGAAATTCAGCAGAAGCTGAAAGAGTAAAGAGAGGTGGTAGTGAACCTGAACTGATGCCAGCAATTTGTTTATAAAAATATGCCCAGTGTGGGGAATCTTTGGCCTTCCATACATTTCTGAACTACAGTTGCCATTATTCCTGGCCATACAGATGAGAATTGTATTCCGGAAACATCTGGAGAGCCAGAAGTTCTCCAGTCGTGTTCGAATGTGTGAAAGCCTTCTTCAGGGAAAACTTTTCTTTTACGAATCTTGCACAGAATTGTGTTTTTGGTGCATTCCTAGACGGGGATTTTTAACACTATATATGAGAAGCAGAAATCCACATGGTGACGTGATTTCCCATATATCTCTCTTTGTGGCCAGAAAAGCTATACCAGTAGAACGTCAGCCTGCCAGATGATGCTTAAAAGTCACAGATACTATGCCAGAGGGGACAAGGAAGGGCACCCCTTGAATTACTCCTGTGTATTTAATCTGAGGATACGTTTACACTTTGCAGGTGTCAATTTTGGGAGAATGTACACATGTAATGTGGTGGCAAGCTGCACTCCCAATACACTTATTTCTTAAATTAATTGTTAGAACATGTCAGGAAATCCCCCCCCCATGCATACAGAGGATTTTCAAGGCCAGAGACTCCTACTGGGGTTAGGGCTAGGGTTGGGGAGATCCAGATTCAAATCCCCACTAAGCCACGAAGCTCACCAGGTGATTGTCACTGTTTCTGAGCCTAACTTACCTCAGAGGATTGTTGTGGGAGATGAGAAAACCATGACATAACTTGGCCTCCCTGAGGGAAAGAAATACAATTCTTAAAGAAATGAATTAGTTTTGCTGCATAGCATGCATCTCTGGTTCATTTTAATGTGTCCTGTGCAATGGAACTTTGGCCCGCCTTGTGTGTTGAGAAGTTACAGGAATGCAATCTTGCACATTAGAAAATGAACTTCCTCCTTCAGAGGCTTGATCGGAAGCCAGCAAATTCAATAAGGCTGCCTCTGGATCGCTTCTTTTGTCTTCCTCATCTTTGAGCAAACTTTTCAAAGTACAGTATGAAACCCAGATCAATATATATTGCTCATGAAATTGCCCACTTGTAGTGACTTCCTCTACAAAGCTGTCTGCCTCTGAGCACTAATGCCAGTCTTTTCCAGAAAATACGGGAAGCATATAACAACTCTCCCCGCCCCCCCCATGAACTACAATCTTTTCTCCCTTTATTTGTGGTCCTTAAATTATTTAATCTCACTTTCAAAGGTCCAACTCTTGTGAATCCTTTAAAAATAACCAGAATGAAAAATATTTGTGGCATCATAAAGCTTCATAATAGCAGAGTTTATGCAGTAATAAAAAAAGGAGGGACATTCACGTTTTGGCTTGTAGAGATGCATTCATATATCTGAAAGATCTTTTACCTAAATCACTGAGCTATCCAGACCTCTGTCTTGCATTTAAGGCAAAACAATGGTTTTCTTGCTGACTGCTGCCTTTTAACTATTTAAATACAGATGTGTCTGATAAAAGACAAGTATTAGGCTTTCTAGCCACACTGAAGTAAAAATAAAGCAACCATATCGGCTGACAAATAGTTGCTCATTAGTATTTTATCAGACCGTAAATACACTGAAGAGGTTTTGATCCATAGTGGACATGTGAAAACCTGTTTTCTACTTTCTCGGCGGTGGGGTGGATTCTGATGTGTGGAAAGGTGGTGGCTGATGTGGCAAAGTCACTGTGGAGCAATATTTTATAGAGCGGTGGCATTCTATTTGCTCCTACTGACGTGTCAAAGGTGTGTGGTGAGTTTACAGCCTGCCATGTCCTCTTAAATTTATGCTAGTGGTCATCCCCACATCCTTTGGCAATGAATCCCCCAAGTTAATTATGTATTACCTTGACAAAGTACTTCCTTTTATTTCTAACAAACCTGCTGCTGCCAATCAAGTTTGCTGGATGGCCCCATGTTCTAATGGTCAACAAAACAATATCTGCCTATTTCACCTTTTGCAAGCCTCCATCTTTACATTTTCTAAATTAGAAGCCCAAATCTATAACCACAGGGTAAAAAGGTAAAGGACCCCATGACGGTTGAGTCCAGTTGAATTCGACTATGGGTGCTCATCTTGATTCAGGCTGAGGGAGCTGGCGTTTGTCCACAGACAGCTTTCCGGGTCATGTGGCCAGCATGACTAAACCACTTCTGATGCACAGAACATGGGGACAAGTGCCAGAGCACACAGAAACACCATTTAGAAGCCCAAATCTATAACCACAACACATATATCACAAATATTTAGTAAACGGTATTTCATAACCACAAGAAAATAATGAAGAACTTAAAAACTATTGCCCCAAATGCAGCAAAATGAGCGAAAGATTTACTTATCTTTCTGGTATGAACCATACTTTGAGAGTTCTTACCAGTTTAAGTTCTGTCCTGTACTCCATTAGTTTCACTGGATGCCAGGAAATTTCTCAGCCTAATTCTGGTCCGGTGGCCACTGGCAGATGCAGGGGGGGACACAGGGTGGTGGTGGTCTGCCCCGGGTGACATCCGGGGGTGACATCGTGGCCACCCCTGCCCCCAGCACCCCTGGATCCTTGCAGCACATGCCCTGGGATGTGTGCCACTTGCCACACACATCATGAAGCACACCACGCCCCCTGGAATGTGATGTGCACCACACCCCCTGGGGCACGCGCCAGCAACACCTCCAGATGTATGCCACTCCCAGTGCCGGAGCAGGTAGCTTCACCACTGCCGGTGGCATATTGGCAACAACGTTGTTTTCCATCTTGATGCAGTCTTTACCCCCTCTGTTGCCATTATACGACTCAGGACAAGAGGACCTGAAGGACCACCAACTCCCATATGAGTCTGTCTTCTGGATCTTTGGATTTTGTAGTTCTCATCTGGTAGGCGCTTTGAGCTTTTATAAGGAAACACAGGACATAAATATTTTAAATCAATAAATTATCCACAGTTTTCATCAGCTTACTTTTTGTCTCAGGCTTCATGCTGTCCTCAGCTTTGAGAAGACCAAGGGTTTAAACCAGGGGCGTGGAAGTGTTTTCAGCCTGAGGAATGCATTGTTTCTAAGGCAACTGTGGCGTTTGCTCATTCTTTGGGGATACGTTTGTATTGGGGGAGAGGAAAAGGGTTAATAGGTTGACCAATAAGAAAGCCTGGAGGCAGAGCCTACCTGATTTTGAGGCTCAGCCCAGAGGTTTTGACAGTTAGTTTGGTTGGTTCTTTTGCGGGGGGGGGGAGAGATAGAGGAGTCAGAGTGAGTTAGAGACAGGGGCAAGACTGAGAGGGAATAGAGTGACAGCGTTTCGAATATATTTTAAAACTTGTTTGTGTTTGAAATAAACTTTAATCTTCATTGTTAACTCTACCTGACTGAGACTCAATACTTCACTGGGGAACCCTGGTTTTTTTCCATAAAATTGGTGGCAGCGGAAAAATAAAGTAGTGGTGTACAGGTCAATCGTCTGTGAAACAACTGGGGGCTCTGTTTGAACGCCACAGCAGCCTTCCAGGAAATACATGTCCATGTTGAGTATAGCCAGAATCAAAGGGGGTCAGGGCCAAAGTGAAGAGAGCAAGTGATATGACACTTACCTTTTGTAGAATAGGCTGCAAGGTTACTCAAAGATTCCTAAATACCTACACCGCTCTCAAAGCCCCACTCAGGTTAGAGCAAGAGACATTCTCACATTCTCAGTGACACTTCAGGAGAGAGTGGAGCAGGGATGGCGATGGATGGGGAGAAACACAAGGGACAGGATAGAGAGCTGTGGAAGGCCACATTTGAACCCCAGATCTGTTCTATCCCGATTTAGAACATCACCGTCACAGAATGAGCCATTCCATACTCGATGTTCCTAAACTTACTTTTCACCAGAAGTTACTTTCAAGAATGCTCAGCAATCTTCTTAATTTTAAGCAGGCTTCCGTTACAGTGCATTTGCAACTTACTCCTCTGATGCAGGTTGTTCCTGCCCTAAATGTCTTAAACATCCAAAACATTATTTATGCCATCACTGTTGTTTTTGGGGAAGCCAACTATTTTGTTTCATGTGGTTCATACAAAAGAGGTGGAAGTGAAGTCATCTCGATTTTTTTTTATTTTTCTGCTGGAAATCCAAAGTTGATAGTTGACAGAAGCAAAATGCAAGGTATAAATACAGCACATACAGTATAAACAGCATTCCCATTTATCCAAATGTTTCCTGTAGTTTGAAAGGAAATACTTTTTCTTATTTAGGTCACTTGCCATGGTAGCTTAAAATGGGAGCTGGATCAGGCCCTTAGGGTATTTTAGTGCTCAATTACAAGTTAGTGCTTACTCCTAATCACCTTGTTCTCCAAAGGAAATAGATACTGAACAGGAACCATCTGGTAATACATTCTGTACCTCTTAATTACAATGTTTTGAGTGGCACCTAAATAAATTTCATTTACAAGCACATGACTGCTTGTCAAAAGCTTGCTTGATAATTTTATTATTGTAGTATACTTCTCTGCTTAATGACTCAGGCCCACTAAAGTTTGGAATATTTGGTTTTAGAGAGGGGGGGAAGTGATTTTAAAAACACACAAACTGCTCATTTACATGCCATAGTTTATTTTTAAATATATTTTGAAGCTGAACATCATGCAGATCTGATGGGCTCCTAAAATATGTAACTGTAAAAAGTGACCACCCCCCCAAAAAAAAATTATGGAAAGGACCTTATATACCTGCCCTGACTAGAATGCCATATATCTAAAACTGTGTGTGCGTGTATAGACACACACCACACATACCTGAATCAGATGAAAGGCCTGTCTAACTCAGTACTTTCTCTGCCATGACTGACAGCAGCTCTGCAGTCTCAGACAGATGTCTTTCCTAGCTCTGCTACCTGAGAGATGCTCTAATTGGAGATGTCATGGACTTGAACCTGGCTGACCTTATATACGCAGAGCATGTGCTTGGCAACTGAGCTACAGCTATAACCCCTACTATCAGAATGTAGAACTTTTGAATAGTGATATACCCACACAGTGAGGTCGGTTGTTTTTTAAAAAAGAAAACCCTAGATCTTCCAGAGGCAAATCCAGCATTCTGTCTCCTGGGCTGTAGAGGATCTCCATTCAGCAAATGGCTGTCCAGTCTTTTCTTTAAAATTTCCCCAGGGGAAAAGGAATTCGTAACTTTTTCTTTAATCGTATCAGTCCCTTGTTTACTGCATTCATGCAATATCTCATATTTGCAAGAAAGAGGATCTGAAAGTTTAATTCCAGATTCTTGAGCAGTTACTTACAGTGCGGTCCAAATTCAAGATTTGGGGGGATGAGCAATCTTAGAAAGGCAGATCTTGTACTGTACAATGTAATTGTTTCATCTTGGCTTAGCTGGCAGAACTTAAGTTGGTGGAATTTACACCAGAGTCATACCTTCCAAGTTTCCTTGAAAAACTGGGACATCCCATTTTTTCCCCCTGTGAGAGCATGGTGGCCATTTGGGTGCTGTAATATCACACGATTTTGTGCTGCGATGTCAAACAGGTCGTGTGACTCCCATAGGAGTATGGATGGGAGGTTGTGTGTTCCAATTCCAACATACATGTTGGAATGTATGCAATAACACAGAGATGGGAAAATGCACTGGAAAGTGTGTTATAACATTTGCTTGAAGTGACACCATGTCAGCTAGTCTCTCCTCAAACCAATCAGAATGATGGTTCACTAAATAGCTACTTCTACCCCCAGCTGCCCTGTGGGAAGCATCCAGTGACTATGTCATGACCAACCATGTCACTATATGTTGCTTCTGAGCTACCTTGGAAGAATTTGTATCCTGAAAGGATATAAACAATTGCTGTGAACAAAGAAAGGTGGGCAGGTATCATCCAAATCCCTTCTGATTTCCCAACAGCCTTCTAAAACTATTTCTCCTTGGTTATCTCAAGGAGGTCTTTCCAGAGCTGAGCAAATTCTCTTCATTAATTTCCGGGTTTTTCATTCAACAACCTTGCTTCATATTTTCTACTTTGTGTTCTGAAATGTCATCGTCCTTTTGTTTGTGGTATGGCGGCCTATTGTTGTTTCCGGGCATGCAGAGTAATGTTCAGAAGTAAGCCTACTTTGTTATTTTATTAGTACTACACAGACATGTGTGTGTGTGTGCATTCACGCCCAGAGCCTTGATCCTATTGAGAAGTGTCTGTGTTTGTTACTGTATGAGGGAAAGGCTCCCGTAGAGATGAAATCCAGTATTTCGACAATTTTCTCTTGCTTAACTGCAGGAACCAATCAATATTTTAAAGAGGCCCTGTGACTCAATGAATTAGTCTGCTGGCTTTTCACCTCTGGATCTAAGGCCTGCCATTAGTTACAAGGCGAGATGGGAGGTGAGTCACAGGGTTTGTTTCTGAATTCAGACGGGAACGTCTCCAATGTTTGGTGGTCGGGTTTCGTTGGGCTGCTTTTTGTTTTGTTTTTTGTTCTTGGCTGCAGGATTTCAGTTCCCAGCTGATACGTTTCCTAGTCAAAAGTGAAAACTATTTTGGGAGCCTCATCCTACTCTCTGGTGGAAATTAGTCTGCATTACAAAATCAACACATAATTTGGCACAATTCGGCAGGATTGGCAGCGCCTTCTAAAGAGAAGCCCAGAACTCAAATAGCTGGGGCATTGCAGGTTCAGGATGCTGAGCTGCTACTTTGGGAAGAGACATGTGGAGAAGCTCATACACATTGCCTCATTCGGGCCAAGGTTATGAGCCTTTATGCCGTAATTTCAAAGCAAACCAAATATAAAATAGGGAGAGCTTTCCAGTATCATAAACATGCATATAAATATAATATAAGATGCTTAGTTATATTCTGGTAAATATAAGGGGCTTTCTGGAATTTAATACAGCTCTGCACATATTTCTTTTTCCCTGATGGTCTTGCTCCTGGGGCAGGGAATGATGATTTTGCGGAAATAAGCTTATTGTGATAGAATATATGCCTTTCAATTGCTTGGCAGCCCTTTCAAGGACAGCCTAGAAGAACTCAGGACTTAAGTTACATATGCACATATGGAAATGAGATAGCCTATTTAACACCCTGCATAGCAGGTGGCCATGATCAGCATCACAGAAATGCATTTGTTTTACAAAACCTGAAAAGAATCCCCAGCCTTTGCATAAACTCACTTTGGTCTCAGGTTGCCGGTGTGGCTCTCAAAGCCCTCCAACTACACAAATCCCTGCTGGATTGTTTGTCCAAACACAGAATGTCAGGTAGGGCTTCTAACCATTATTATGCAGCAGATAATCATAGTCACTGTACATATAGACATCCATCTGCCCTTCCCACGATCCATTATTATTTTCTAATATGGTTCCAAGGGGGCCAATGACATGCATAAGATAAATATGTAGCCTAGAGTCTTTTATCCATTTGTATACTCTGCACACATCTTCCTCATGGGCACAGCAATGCACTGCAATACTCCGTGTGTGGACATTATCTTTCAATATAGCGGCCAGCAGTCTCCATGTGTAATTTCAGTTGCAAATTATCTGCTGGTTACAAACAACAACAAAAAACCACACATTGTTGCCATGCTGTTCCTAACTTTTCATGTGACAACATGTAGACAAATTCAAAATCAAAATCATTGATAAAGGCTAGAGTATCAGGCGATAACTGAGTGTTGATCAAGTTTAAACTCATTGAGTAACTGTTTCTCAGCTTCAACTACCTTACAGGGTCGTTGTGAGCATCAGATGGGTTGGGAGAACTATATAAGGCACCTTGAACTCCTGGGAGGAAGGGCGAGTTATAAATGTAATCAGTTAAAATTAAAAAGTACCTGACCAAGTGCTACTTAATTCAAAGGGAATTATTTCCTGGTAACCATGCTCAGGATTGCATCCTTGTGCTGACAATAGTGTTGAACACGCCATCAAATGTAAGAATATAGAGCATAGTATGTTGGCTCTAAACACACCACAAAACAGGTGTGTGTGTGTGTGTGTGTGTCTAAATTCCTGACCATTTAATCAGCTGATGAGGTGGCACGAAACCCACAATGTATAAAGCACAATGTAATTGCTGCTGCTGATAGTTAAAGAGGGTACTTGCTTTACTTGCGAGATTAAAGGCAAACGCTCCCTTTTAAAACTGAAGTCATGCTGTGCTTTGCACCTTTTGACACATATTAAGTTAGGTCATTAAAAAAGGGGGCTAATTAAAAAAAAGAATGTAAAACAAAAGAGCCATTTGTCTATTCCAGAGTGTGGTTCTTCATGTGCTCTGACTGGAGGCAGTCTGCATTTAAACCTTGGGTACAGAAAGCAGGGGAGGCCACCAGGGCATGCTTGGAGCTTGTCATGGCTTTTGGCTAGACTGTGGTCCAGCTCATTATGCACCTCATAAAGAAGAGAAGTCACTGTCATCAAAATTAGCAGAGGCTAGAATTTACATTCATGGAAATGTTGGTTTCCCACCATCCTCTGGGGCTGGACAATAAAGGAAACCTTTTACCATCTGCAGTTAAAGTAAGGGAAGTTTAGGAAATGCTTAGCGTGCCATTAGGGCATTTTAAGAATTTAGCACTGCTATGTAAGTGATTTTTTTTTTTTAAGCCAATCAGAATATTACACACAAACTGCTCAGGATGCCTGCAGAATCCTTGTGCATAAAGCACTAGAAACAATAAGCAGACATTTACCCAAAGCTATTATTTCTATTTCTCTCAAGGAGTGTTTATTTGTTTAAGAAAATTATAGTTTTGTGTGTGCAAAAATAAAAATCCATCATAGGCAGGACTGCCTCGGAATAATTTCTGATTTCTCATTTATAGCAAAACTCTCTCTTGGTTTCAAGATTGATTTTTTTGTTAAGAGCATTGATATAGGTTTTATTAGAAATTCTAAACTGCAAAATATCAATAAAAGGTTCATAGAATATTATGGTAGGTTTATTGAAGGCCACCTAGTCCACCCCACATAGCACAGATGACACAAAGTCCCCCAAGCAATCTTGCAAATTGTTTAGTCAGCCAATGAACACTTTCAGTGAAGAGCATTTCACAGCTTTGCTAGGCAACCCAGGCTATCTGAAATTTAGGCAATTTGTCCTTTTAATATTCAATCTGAATCCACTTTTGCCTTTGGACCATTCCTTCTGTCATGTCTCAGTGGTAAAGAAAAAGCAGTTGAACCATGTGTACGGAATGCAGAGATGAAATGTTAATAATCACATGCTTATTTATTTATCCTAATATTTTGTGTCAGTTTAAGGAACTAGTGACACACCAATGGATGGGAAACCTGTAGTCCTCCAGATGTTGATGGACTACAACTCCTATTATCCATTACCTTTGTCCAGGCTGACTTGTGCTGATGACGGTTAGATTCCATAAGCTCCCCATTCCTACTGAGGGGGAAATGTCATTTCTTATAGACAAATGCATAGAGGATGATACTGGTCATGATGGTCCTATACTAGTTCAAGAATGAGATAGAATACCTTTGCTGAGGAACAACAGTGAGAGACTTTCCATAGGCATCTGATTTCCCATTGTGGGAAATAGGCCACTGTTCCAGTCCAGCAGGGCTTTCTCATGCCATTTTCAGTAACTCATTATTCCCAAGGCTTCTGTACTGGCTCTTCACTGCAGAAGCATGTGAAATATCTACAAGTACTTAGTGAGGAATTTGCCACAACAGATGAGCTGAAGGTCTGAGGCACACCAGTACCAAAACATGGAATAGGGTTGTGGCTCACTGCTTCAGGGAAAACTTCTGTGCCATGTCTTCCCAGTTGTGGGGAAGCAAAATCATGGCCTAGGTGTCTACCTTCTTTGGACGACAAAGAACCATTAAGAATTCCTCTGCCTTTTCTACCTCTGTTTTCAAGAGGACCTGTGTGGATTTATTGTGGTTCAATGTGAAATTGCTCTGAAGCTAGTATGCTTTTCATGTGAAATGGGATCACAAAGCAATTTTTTGCTGGTTCTCCATGGGACCTCAAACACAAAACCTAAAAGGGAGCACTTAAAATACAGAAAAAGGAAATATTCGCATGAGTGCTTCTGCATTAAAACTGACTTCTGGAGCAAGGTTTCTTAGTTTGTGCTTCCTAGGCTATTAGCAGCCTGTAATAGGGCTGTGCCACAACTTGTCCTCCCATTTCTCAAAAGTTTTCTTCCCATGTGAGAAAGGCATCTGTTTTGCTGCCACATTTCCAGGGCACATTAGAATTTCTTTAGAATTTCTGTGGGTGCCAAGCTAAGCTTACCTTATTGTTGCAAGGTGGCCAAGGGAGGTGTGTGTTTGTTTTTCATCCCGTTGAACATTTCTCCAGCACTCTGAAGCCTTCCTGGATGCCCACACCTCTCCATCCAGGAAAATGGGCTTTAATTGAAATGCAGAAAGTGAGGGATAAGCCAGAAGGGTTTTTTCTTAATGGAGTCACAGCTCAGTCCTTGTTGCTTTTCAGTATGCTAGATGGGAAGGTCCATAACTCAAAGGTAGAGCACACACTTTTTCATGGAAAAACTCCAAGGTTTAATCCCTGGGCTCTCCAGCTACAACTAGGCTGCTGCCTGAAACATTGGAGTGCCAATGCAGGCGGTGTGGACAATACGTGCTAGATGAGCCAGTAGTTTGCCTTGAATAAGACAGTTTCCCATGTTTCAAGAAGCCTAAAGCACTAAGTGAGAAGAAGCCAAATGACCTTCACTGGATTGTGCTGATCGCTTCCACAGTATTCCTTTATGTAATATTGTAGGCCACAGAAATTGTGGAACTCTCACTGCTCAGGTCAAATGGGCCAGTGGCTTTGGACAAACTGAGCGCTAAGAAACTTGTGGCTATCCCCTCCCGCCCCCGCATTTGTAGGTATTGTCAATTCCTGTGACCAATGTCATGTATAAATTGGTTTCACACAGATCTCAATAGCAGCAGACTACAGGATTTCCAGTGTGTATTTGAGAAAGTCAAAGACTGAAGAACTTGATGCAGCTGAGAGATCTATGATCTCCTAGCTCACTTTGATGGCTTTGCTGATGCAGGTAAATGACTGTTTTGAGAAATCCAAAACCCAAGCTCTACAGTATTTTTGGGGTGTGATTTTGTTCTCCCATCAATTTATATTGCAGTCCTATGCATGTTCTCTAAGAAGAAGGAAGTCCTACTGAGTTCCATGGGGCTTACTCCCCAGCCTAATCTGATAATTTTTGGCAGCCACAATAAATATTTTGTTTATTTCTTTGGTTTCTGGCAGTCACTTGTTTCTGAATCAAATGCACAAGAAGGTGTGATTATTTTTTTTAAAAGCCCCCGCAAAACACCAGGTTATCTGGAGCACAATTTTGGATAGACATGGCTCCAATTGACTGTCGATGCAGCCCTAGCCTTATTTACAGAGGGGAGTCGTTTTAATTCTTGGGCATTAGAACTCCAGTCTAGCTAGCCAAGCCACCCAGCCAAGTATTGGCATGAGTTCTGCCATGCAACCAATGACTTACACTTCCTTTCTAGCCAAAGAAAAGTCCTGGGGAGCAGCCAGCAGAGAAGGGAAGATTCATAGGTGGTGGTGGGAAAAATATCATGCCAAACGCAGCAGACATTAAACCATTCAGTGCGACTACACAGGTTTTTAAACAAGCCCGTCTCTGATAAAGAAAAAGGGTTAATAACAGCACTCATGGAAAGCATTTGAGCTCAGAAGGCTTGGTATATTTGCAAGTGGGAATAAGGCCCGTTTTTCACTGGAATCCTGCTGGAAACAGAATATCCTGCAGGAAGCCGTCATTTCAAACATTACATTTTTTTTGTTTTGTTCTGCAATATAATTAATACATCAGGTCATGTTTTTGTACTGCCAGTGGCGTGTTTATTACATTATTACCTCACCAACATATTTTAGCTGTAGTCCAGGAGTTAGGAGTCACTGGCTTCCTCACAGAACGATCCCATTTAAGCAGGCGAGGTTTATACGTAGCCCGTGAATATTCATGTTGACTGAAAATAATAACAGTATTATTGTTGTTGAAATCTTCAGGGAAGCTTGCTGGCAGGGAGAGATTATTTAAAGCAGGTCTCTCCACAACCCCTCCCCGATGGAAGAGCTGAGGGGAAAAAAAGAAAAGAAAATCCTTCCAGACAGATAGGCGTTGGGTGATTCCCTCCACCCCTTTTTCCTAAAGCTGCGTTGCCAAGGATAAAAATCTTACTTGCAAAGATCCTTATTACATGTCTGTACCCTTAAGCTGCCGAGATGACACCACCGCTTACAGGTGGAAGAGCGAAAGCAAGGGAAAAGTACCAAAGCCCCGAAGTCTCAAGTCAGTGCAATCATCTTCAGTTCCCAAATTGTCCTGGATGGAGAATAGCTTCGGATTTGTCTTCGGCTGTTTGGCCAAACTGGGGCACAGATGGGATAATGACTTTTACAAACAGCATTTTGATGAGAGGAGGGGAGAAGGAATCATATGTAAAATGCACAAAGGCTGCATAAACACACTGATGCCTGCAGCTGGAACAAACTAAAAAGATGTTTAATAATTTAGAACCAAGCAGGCAGGGCCTGTGCAGCTGTTGTGTGCAGGGGACCATGAAAGTCTTCCATTTGACAGCTGGCTCCATCTTTCCCCAGTTGCTACGTGAAGAAGAGAATGCAGATTTGGGATTAGCCAATCCCTGTTACCCTTGCCCATCTGCCACCAAGACCCCCAGCTCTGACTTCTCTCTGTAGAGAAGCGCAGACATTAAAAAGTCCACACTCTCCCAAACATATGTATGCATCAGTATCAGCCGTCAGCCATTCTGAGGATCTGTTGACATGCCGCCAGTACATGGCTGCTGTCGTTTTTGCTGCAGGGCACATTTTGCATTTCACACATTTGCAGAAATACAAAATGCTGTTGGATGCAAACAATTCAGGGCCTAATTGGCTGAATTACTTCAATGTTACCTTGTGTCCCCCACCTGATTAACATAGCTCAGCTGGGAGGGCTGGGAAAGGAGGAGGGAAGAGGGATTTGGAGGGCAGGTGAAGCTATGTTTGCCCATGAAAGCGAGATCCTTAGCAAAGTCCCAGCTGAGATCGAGCAGGCCTGTGCCAGGCAGATAGCTGTTAGCAGGAGGGGAACTTCATAGACGCTGGCGTTCTTTTACAATATAGGTTTTTCTCCTGCTAGACAAAAAAAGGAAGAGCGAGAGAGAAGAATTCAAAGCATGGCTGTGGCATGATGTATGTGTTTCTGCTTAAATGTTCCTTTTGTAAGAAAGAAAAGAAATTGCTGGATGGAACGCACCCACCTTGTTTCCCCCTGCCCGGATTTAGGGGAGCGGTACAAGTGGAAAGGAGCAAAGAGGCAATGAGTCCCTTGTAGAAGCATGCCAGCTAACACAGCTTTGCCAAGGTATAATGGTACATTTCAACAATGGCTTAGATCATGTGGAACTGTCTTTTAGCCAATCTTAGCATTATGCTTCTGCCAGCCGAAGGGACGAGCAGGGCATGGAGGGGGAGAGAATGGGCATTTTTCTTCTTCTTCAGTGCTGCTGGCATTTTTGATGAGGTTTTTGTTGTTTGAAACTGCAAATGCGTGCTCTCTCTTTTAAATTTAAAGGCCCGCTAATCCTGACCTCATGTTAATACCTGCGCGACAAAGCAACTAATAATCATTATTAGAGCCTCTTCCAAAATTGTGTGCTATTCGAAATAATGAGACAGATTAAAACACGTACACACACACACACACACACACACACATTCTGAATATTAAAGCTCAGAAGGAATGTACAATTATGAAATTAGAGGTTTTTTGTGTGTAAATGGCAAAATACTTTTGAATTGATAAACAGTTTTAATTTTTCTTCCTTTCCGATAAATAATTTTATTCCTGCTGAATTATTTGTTTTTATATATGGTTTCCAACACAACGACCAATTCTCGAATCACCACCCCCTCTTTCTTACACACACACACACACACACACACACAGCTGGTATAAAGTGATTAAGAAACTCCTTTCCATATAGAAATCACACCAGAAAGAAAGGAGTCTGTGGAAATACAGTCTGCAATTTAAAAGCAGAAAACCCTCAAGCAGTTTGGATATACACACTTTAAAATAACATTTTTTGTATTTCTCTACAATTAGGAGAGAGCTTTCTCTCCATTCTCTTTCAGTGGGAGAAGAACCCACTGGTAACAATGTCAGACTCTCTTACTCAAGTGCTATACTCCACAACCCAAAATGATGCCAGACAATCAAGTATTTACCAGAATTATTCTTCTCACTTTATGATACTGTGAGAACTCTCCCCCCCTTGTACCTCCAATTATTAAGGCTAAAGTCAACAGTCTAGACCAAACCAATGAAATCATAACCTTTGAAAGATCTAATGACATCATACCATTTGAATTCCAAAATTCAGCTCATCCAAAAATTCACCAGAGGTGGGCAAAAAGCTGCTTCTCACGAGTGCATGTGCAAAGAAAAGGAGGCCCTTTATATCAGAGACCACAGCAGAGAAATACTGGGAATTCATGGGCTATTTATACAAAAGCACAAAAATAATATCTGTTATAATTCCTGCCAAACTGCCTTTGCTTTCATTTTTCATAGAATCAAATTTTCATTTGCTCTTACTTTGGACATTGCTGCCCCAAGTCACCCCTTTCCACCTTCAGTTTAAACTGTTGCAAGACTCCTTCAAGAATTAGCTCCTTTGCAGCTAATTGCCACTGTTCTGGAGGACATTTCCCCCTGTGAGTTCCATTGAAATGAATGGGGAGATGTTCAAAGAGCACTACCATGCTATACAAATTCTCTTTTAACTGCTCCTAAATTTCTGCTGTAATGGGTCCTCATGACAAGATTGTTTAATGTCAGAGGTGTAGTCCCCTGGGCTCCTTTTATTTATGTTTCAGACTGGCTCCTTTGCTTAAAAGTATGCACTTGTAAAATCCATTTTCTTTCACATACCTCTTGATTGCACTATAATTTTTATTCTTGCTTCATCAGCAGTCATTAGATTTACAACTAAGTACAAAAAAACCCCTATGTTAAGGTTATGACAGGTACAAAGGCAAGAAAATTCAAAGTTAAAGGTGAAAGACCATCCTTGTTTCACTGACATTGAATCCTTTATTCCTTCGTATGGGAAAGAAAAACGGCAATCTGATGTGTCCAAGAATCAGCCAGATATACTGCATGGCACCAGATATAGTCCGTGTCGCCACTGTAAAAGCTTCAGGTTCTGACCAGTCTGCCAAATTCCAGTGTACTCAGACGCTGCCCTTAACAACCCCATTTTCAAGGATGGGTGTCTCTTCGGGGGAGGCTGCCAAGGAAAGAAAGTAGTGCCAAATTATTTGGCAGATTTGTGTTTCGCACAAATAACCAGTTCCCGAATTTTATTGGCAACCTTAATAATACTTTCTTGGGGGAGCGGGGAGGAAGAGAGAGAGAAACATACCACCTTACTGCAAAGCAATAGGTTGGGAGGGAGGGGGGAGATTGCTAAATTGTTGTGGGCACCTTTCCAGAGGTCCATAGTCTGAGGCAATTGATCTAGTTTAGTGGGAAATGGAAAGATAGGACTTTGTTCTCTTGCTGCATGTTATCAGATACAGATTTTAACTGTAGCCACATCTTTGCACCTCATTACCTTTCTGGTGCACTAACCTGCTTCCATGGTACCAGGTGCAAAATGAAATGCAGGGGGGCTTAAGGCTCATGAAGTGAACGGCCAAACAGTCATCTCCAGTGACTTGTAATTTTGTCATTACCCCTTCCCAGTGAGTGCAAGACATGGCCTTTCCTCAGTGTTCAGAATTCTGAGAGATTATGAAGGATAGTCTTCATTTTAAAGGTAAAGGGACTCCTGACTGTTAGGTCCAGTCGCGGACGACTCTGGGATCGCAGCGCTCATTTCACTTTACTGGCCGAGGGAGCCAGCGTACAGCTTTTGACATGCTTTTGAACTGCTAGGTTGGCAGGAACAGGGACCGAGCAACGGGAGCTCACTCGTTGTGGGGATTCGAACCGCCAGCCTTCTGATCAGCAAGCCGTAGGCTCTGTGGTTTAGACCACAGTGCCACCCGCATCCCTTGTCTTCATTTTAGGAGGATTCAATACTACCAGGATGCCCTTAAAGCAAGGTCAAGTTTCATCAGAATCCCTTCCTAAAGTCCTTTAGATTGCTAGGCCCAGACCATCTATGCCTGTGAATCTTGGCAAACAGGTACAGTTAGGAAACATAAAGTAAATTTGGGGGCAACTAAAAACGTGTGAGCCACTTCCCTTGAGATATATTCCTAATCCTATTGAAATTATTATGCTTGAATAGGATCCTCCAAGCATTCCAAGTATGCCTTGAATTTTGCCACAGGGGAAATTCAGTGGGAACTCTAGAACAAATCTGAGTCTATTAAGGGAGGGGATTGTATGTGGATGGTACTGGGACATTGAATTGAAGGCAAGCACATACATTCACGATTAGTTTAAAATAATAATATAGTGATTCTAGGAATTAGGATGGACTTCTTATATCACACTAGATATAATTTGATTCCCAGATCTTGGAAAACTGAGGCACGAAGAAACTTTTGCCCAAGAAGTGACCATCTTATGACTTTTCCTTGGCTTCCTTACCTTCGATTTGCTTCCTATTTATCATATTGTGAGTCCATGAGTTGTATCAGACACTGTGTGAGTGGAATTTTGCTCACCCAGCAGTATGGGCATAGCCAGGATTTTTGTCAGGGGGGTGAGCAGCCAAAGTTCTTGAGCTTTTTTGGATCTGCCCGCCCTTTCCCCACCTGCCCCCTAAATCTGCTACAGAGGGCCCCCCAAACACTTTGGAGCAGCTTTTGAAGATGTGTGAGAGGCTTCAGGTGAGAGGAGGAAGCTCTGTTGTGCATGGTCACTTTCATCATGGTTGTCTTACACAACAGAGCAATTAATCTATATAAGCTAAAGTGTAATGACTTGGGGTGGGGGGTTTCTAGCAGTGACCACTGGATTTGAGCAGTGAACACTCAATGGTACCTAAGATGTCTGGAGCAAAGGACAAAGTTCAAAATCATTGGAAACCATTGCTTCCATTGGTTTAAAACAGTCATATTCTGAAGTGAAATATTAGAGAAAATGGCCCTTTTTAATTTCCTAAAAGGTGCTGTTTGTAATTTCACTCCTTCTTAGTGAGGTGTCTACTCAGAGGCAGGGGGGGGGGGAACCACACAAAAATGTGGTTTCAAATTGGAAATATGTATACTTGGCTATTTTGATTTCAGGAACTTTGCAGTGAGGAAATTGTGGCTTATGAACCGGCAATTAATGTCATTACCAGTAAACCCTGACACCACTTGCTACTATTTTAATTGTGTGTTTTACTAACACCAGACCCCTCCCCTCTGATAATGGAGCTCCTCCATCCCCACCTGCAGCCTAAACAAGTCTTGTAAACCTGCCCCCACCAAAATCAAGATCCAAATGGAGGAAATGCTTGAAATGTTAAGTAATGGGCTATCAAGTTGAAATAGAACTTTATTACTGTTTTCTACTTGCAGACATAACAATCAAAATATTAAGATCCTGTACAATATTTTTTCTAGCTCCTAACATTAAAGAAGGGGGGGACAGGGGAATTGGTTTCAGAAGATTATTTTGATTTGCTATTATTTTATATTAAAACAGAGGAACATTTCCAAAGTCCTCTGGTGTATTTTGTAACACAAGTGTTCATTTTCCCCCTTCTTTTTAAAAATACTTCCTTTGTGACATATGAAACAGTAACATTTTTCCCATGGTTTGGAGGAGAAAATGAAATCCAGATTTGTAATTCCTAAAAGGAGAAATTTGATCCTTTCCAATGTTTAAGTAATATTTCCTGTAAAACATACGAGGCCATCTGCAGAGCTGTTTCCAGACACATTTTGAAGTGGCAAGGGCAACTGAAAGAGAGGAGAATGGAGCCTGGCATTTCACCGCTGGGAAATGGAACATTAAAAGGTTTCTAAAAGCTGGTTCTACCATTTTATAAAGTATTCAAGCCCTGCATAGTTCATAATTTGTTTAATCTGCTCACCTTTTTATAGATAGGGAGTGGGGAGAGAAGGGGAGATTCTGGCTGGAAGGGAATGTATACAAACTCTGATTCGCCTCAAAGAGGCCAGTGAGCATGCAAGAATTACTGGTGCTCAAAGCTGAATTGTAATTGTATTTTATTTTTAATAGGTGCAATGGAGACATTACAGGCAAATCCTCCCCTATAAGGATTGGACAAGCTGAGCCTTATTTGGGGAGAAAACACAGAAATGCGGTCTTTTCTATCTGTTTCAGAGTTGTGTTTTATTGTTAATCTCCAGGGTCACCTTATGAATTCATGTTAGTAAAATGTTACGGCCTCATTATAATATTCACTTTGTGAAAGGCCCTGCATTTATCACATCCCAACCTTGGATGAATATAAATTAAAAATGTGCATCTTTTTTTAAAGGAAAGGATTTCATACAGTTAGTCCTCCCTCCCTTGCCAACCCTTCCCCAGTTACAGAGAAATTCTAAAACTGATCTTTTGTTCAGGTTTAGGAAACACCTAAATTCTCATTGCTTCCATAGCTGAAAGTTAACATTTCCTTTGTTTTTTGTTTGGCTGTAGAATGGAACTTCTAAACTACTGTAGGACCAAAGATTACCAATCCCCTCAGTCTGATGGAGCCATTCACCCCCCACAAAATGGGGGTGGGAATTCAGCTACTTTTATGAGTTCCTTAGTGTAAGTGTATTCAAATACATTTTGAGCATGGCTTCTTTCTTTCTCCACCATAAAAACTTTGTGTCATGATGTTGTGTTGCTCACATTGAGACATTCTGATCAGAATTGAGAAGGAACACTGCCAGGCTGTTGTGCGGTTGTGTGAAGCTCTTTTGAATCTCTTTTATGGGAAAATAAGGAAACTTAGCAGCCTTGTCAAGAAGAGTAGACAATCCCACCCCACTGATGAAATTTAACAATTGCCAAGTTCTTGATAACTATTCTAATCTTTATGTGCCATTTTATCCCCGCCTTACCTCCTGAACCAATGAAAAACCTCAGTTTAATATTTTGGACAAGCACTGTTGCACAGGACTGAAACAGTTACATCATAGTTAAACACTTTTATATTTGTTTCATGTTTTTTATGAGAATGAGAATGTTTTTCACCACTTTATCTTTTGATTAATTGGTATATAATTTTCATTAAAAAGAGTATTTTTTCCTTTGGATGTGCAACTCAATGACCATTCTTCCATGTAGCTGCAAGGATGGAAAAACAACAACAACAGGTACACAATTGTCTGATAAATGGTGTTTTACCACCCCAAGAAAAGCACTAGGTCTGCATACTCCTTCCTCACCACTCCCTTTCTATTCTCCCCTTGTGCCACCCAGCTTCAGTGAACCAAAAACCTTGAAAGATCTCACTTAAAACTAGGATATGAAACCAGGAGAAGGGACAGTGGGGGTGATCCTGTTCTCCCATGGCATGTTCAGTATCCCTGAATACCAACCCTGTGAATGGGCTCCTGTGTTTTCCCATGCATCCCATGTCTGCCTTGTTATTCTAAGCTTACTTTCTCCGCTGTTGTTCAAACTACAGTGGTACTTCAGTTACAAACACTTTGGGTTACAGACTCCACTAACCCAGAAGTAGTCCCTCAGGTTAAGAACTTTGCCCCAGGATGAGAACAAAAAGCATGCGGCAGTGGCGTGGCGGCAGCAGGAGGCCCCATTAGCTAAAGTGGTACCTAAGGTTAAGAACGGACCTCCGGAACGAATTAAGTTTGTAACCAGAGGTACCACTGCACAGTCATAATTATCTGCCTCTCCAAATTCAGCCCCAGTTGGATGGCATGATCCACATGTGTCCATTTATCAGATAAAAGAATCTTACAGTTCCCATCAGATTTTATGGGCATGAGGGTACTTCAAAATTATGACGGCAACTTCAGATCCTATAGTTATGAAGCCAGAAAGAACCTTCAAAGCTGTCACTTCCATTTCCTACAAAAGCAAAACACTTTGTAAAAGGGGGGGGGGGGGAGAAATACACACACATTACTGCTGAATTATAAATGAGATCTGGTATTTTTGTGATGGTACAAATCGAAGGCTTTCTCCATATTGTTAGAATACCAATTCACCCTTACTGGTCTCTACTACCTACCACTGTATAGAGTCCCCTGAGAGTCATCCATTTCTCATGAGATTACTTCAGCATCACATTACTGCTACCACATATCCATTATATATACACTTTCAGACAAGTGGAAGTGTTTCCACAAAAACAATCTGGAATCTTGGCTTAAAACTGAAGTTTTCTGTCAAAGCAAAGAGAGTAGTCTAAAAGAGGGCTTATTTTTGTTTTTTGTTTTTGTACAAATATGTTGCTTTTAGTTGGCTGTGGGGAAAATGCACAGCAGTTGGGCCACTGTTTTGTTTCAAGGCAGCAATCCCAAACCATGTACTCAGTAGCAGCAGGTTCCTTCTGTGTATGATGTGGAATCAGGCTTCATTCATTCCATGGGAAGCTTTTTTGGAACACAGCCTGAGAGGGTAAGCCTTGTTATGCTGGCAACTTTCTTATATCAATGCACTGGAGCTCCCATATATCAATCAATCAATATATCATATGATATTGAGACATACTTAAAGAATTCTCTCCTATGGTTCATGATAATGCCTGATAAGCTTACTTTGCAATGCCTTTACAGTGGTACCTCGGGTTAAGTACTTAATTCATTCTGGAGGTCCGTACTTAACCTGAAACTGTTCTTAACCTGAAGCACCACTTTAGCTAATGGGGCCTCCCACTGCCGCCGCGCCGCCGGAGCCCGATTTCTGTTCTTATCCTGAAGCAAAGTTCTCAACCTGAAGCACTATTTCTAGGTTAGCGGAGTGTGTAACCTGAAGCGTATGTAACCTGAAGCGTATGTAACCCGAGGTACCACTGTACAGCTCGTCTGAACTTTGAAACTATCAAACTATCAAACTTTTTGCAGGAATTTAGGGAACAAAGGAGGGGCTGAAACTGTCTCTTTTGCATTTCATGCAAGGAGGCTGTGAATTATACCCAAGTATAAAAGCCACATCAGTCTGTTCAAAGATGTAAAGGCATTTCTGCCCAGAGGTCCCCCCCCCTTATCTTATATGTGTCTTTAAGGCATGATGATTACGGAAACAAATGAAGCCCTTGGTTAGATACAGAAATGGAAGAGGCTATCCCATTCCCCCTGACAACTATATTTCTATATTCTGATAGCCATCTGCTGGAATCAGATGGTATATGTCTTGTAACATCTGGATAATGGGGTTTCAACTGTAATCTCATTAATTTAATATTTCTGTTTAAGAGATAAGGCTGTCTTATACGAGGCTTTCCAAGATGGGCGATACTTTTGTTATGCATGTAGGGCACAATTCAAAGAAAGTTAAGTGTACCCAAGTCCTAATCAGTGGGATTTCAGCTTAATTTCAAGACAGACACTGGCTTCAGTTACAGATGAGGAAAGTCTCTCCTCTTTGATTAGGGATTTCAGTGGCACTTAAGTGCACCTAATTTTCTCTGGATTTCACTCTTAGTCTTTTTTTTATATTTAGTTTTCTCCAATTTTGAACCTATTCCTGTTGCTGCCAATAAAAATGCCCTGCTTATCTCAACCCCAATCAAGCAAGGTCAGTGAACTGTGTGACATCATGCACTGGGTAAACAGACGTAAATTTTACATACAGTGATTTACTATTACTTTTCATCAACTTCTTCCTTAGGAAGTCAGTATTTTTATTGAGCACAAGGGGCCTTTAGCATAGGTCAAATGTGTGCCTACAACAATGCATAGTAGAATTTTCACACATAATTATTTAATTTAGGAAGTTTCATCTTTGAATGGGTACTGTTTCCTAAAGGAAAGTGAAAATAATTTCAGTTTTCTTTACATTGAATATGCTTTACAAATACGTTATTTTGAGTGCTACCAGTTCAACATTTTTGCTTTTTAATATCATGAATGTGGATTCATTTGAAACTGGTACTTCAAGAGTCATGTGAGCATATAGTAATTTCAGTTCTTCACTTAACAAAATTACTTTTAGGTACTGCATGATCCCATATAACTACATTCTCTGGTGAATCCTTAGTGCTCCTTTGGCTGAAAGCAAATAAAGAGAGCACCAAATTCACGGTTTCATTATTTTAAATATAGCTAAGATAATTCAGTTTAGATTTAGCAATATAAAGCAATGTAATATTGTGTGTGATCTTAAAGACACCTGAACCATGTGCTATGCTGACACTTTAAAAGTTGTTGTTGTTGTTGTTTTAACACTTTGTTTTAAAACATGTATATACCAGAGTCCAAAGAAATTCATCATACCGTATCATGGACAACAGGAAATGGGACTGGTATGTTCTCGTTGGTCTTGATTCTGTATCCATTATGATGAATTTCTGTATCTTGGATAAAAGAGAAAAGAAAAAGTCCATTTCCCCCCTTTCCCCATTCTTTTTCCAAGCTAATCTCCAAAATCTTGGGGGCATTTTCTTTTGTATTCACTTCAGCATGTACACAAGGGCCTTTATCTCTCAGCTTTGCCTCCGCTATCTCCATTTGTTTCTTAATGTTTCTATTCATAATTCCATTCATTTCTTTTTTAAAAAAATGATATTTATTAAAAGTTTAAGAATTACAGAAAAAAGAGAAAAAGAAAACAACAAAAAATTTGACAAAACATACATTACAATACATAAAAGGAAAAGCATAAAAAACATTACAACAATACAGCAAAAAACAACAAAAAACAATAACATTAAAACACACATCCAATGTTCCATATCTTTATCTTTCATTTACTTGTTTCATCAACCTCCTCACACCTCCCTTTTTGTATTCTAATTTAATTAATTGTTTCAGCAAATTCTTTCCATCTTCCTCAATTTTTGTTATATAATTTATCTTAACGATCTAACCTTTTAATTAACTCAACAAATCCTTTCCATCTTTCACTATATTCTGTCATTCAATTTACCTTAATTTATTTAACCTTATCTTACCGTAAAAAACCCCCTTAAAACTTAAAACTTAATACTTATTTGTACATAACTCCTTATATCATTTCTACTAAAGCCAAATAGTTTCATTCCAACATTTTTCCTAATACTCATTAATTTTACACTAATTCTCAAAATAATTTTTTAAAAAAACTTCCAATCTTCATCCAACGTCTCTTCTTCCTGGTCTCGGGTTTTGTAAGTCCTTCTTGTCCATTCCATCTAGTCCATCAACCTGTTGATCTTATGTCCGAGGCTCTTAAGTCTTTTCCATGTCCCTTCTGCAGATCTTCTTCTTGTTTATACCTGCACTTTACTTTGTCTTTTGTTGATCTTTTTCTTAATTTCTTTCCTTTCTCATTGGGGGGTAGGTCTTGGGAGGACTCCAATCCAAAAATATCTCCATCTCCCCTCAGCAAATCAGCCCATTCCCCACAGTCCCATTCCCCACAGTCAACACTGTAATCCAGGAAGTATTTAAAAGCATGTTTCAAAGTCCTTCCAAAATTAACGGCCCTCACAACTCCAGACCCCCCCCCCGGTCCACTCCAGATTCAAACTTCAAGAACAGCGGCTTATGCTCCTGCAAGGCCTCGGATCTCTCCTTTTGTGTTACTTGAGGTTCAACAGCAACCTCCTCCATTATCTTCTGCACTTGCGCTTGCCCTGTCAAAACAAGTTCCTGGGCTGGTTCCTGAATGGTTTCTATATGAGTATTCGCCGTTTGTCCAAAGTTTTTAACTGCAACAGTCATCAAATCCATCTTCTCATGCATCTGCTCCAGCAAAGCGCTTGTCTTGCAAAAAGCAAGCACCAAAACTTCTTCTAAACACATTTTTATTCAAGGTCAGAGTCTGGTCTCACGATCCCAATCTTACAGCTCTGAAATCCCCAGATCGACTCCAGCAACAAATTAACAAGCTCCCTCTAGAGGAGACAATTTCTATTTGTATCCATCTTTTGAAAGCAGGACCAACAAAAGAAAATTACTTTCATTTTTCAAATATTTTGTTTCTTTTAAATGCAAGAGGCAACATTGGAGTCAATTTGTTTCTCTTTTTTTACTATCTGTCAAAAGACGTTCCATTCACAGTCGATGAACTTCCCCATAAATTTCTGTCTCTGACACCCCGTTCCCAGGTTTGAGACGGTGGAAATTTATCTTTCTTTACTCTCTCTCCTGCAGGCTTAAACAGTCAAAAATTCCCCCCTTTTCTCTTGCTTCCAAGAGGGGTTTTGGTGGTAATAACTGAAGGAAATTTAGACCTTTATATACGACTTTCCAGACTTTAGCTTACAAAGTTTTTGCTTCAATCTATTTACAAAAACAGGAGGCGGACTTCCTGTTTAGAGCCTTCCCGCTTCAGTGCCAAATTAAAATGTTTCTTAATCCAATTTTCCGTTCTACTCACGGGTACTTGTTTAGAGTCCAATTGTCCACAGGAAAAAGTCAGCGCTCTCCGGCAATGGCTGTGCGGCTTCACTCCGTAAAAGTAGCGGTTGATTCAAAACACCGCGCCGCTCACCCCACGTCGCTTCGGATCCCCGAAAAAGGGTTTCCCTGCGAGTAGGGGAGGCGCTCCTGGTGTCAGCCGAATCCCACGTTCCCAGGCTTCCTCCGCCTGGGATTTTTAAAGGGTCTCCGCCTTCGCCGCGGCGGCAAGACCCGATTTTCACGGAGCGGGTTCCTCTTGGTCAGAGGAACTCCGCCATTGCCGATGGCGCTAACCCGGAAGTCTCCCAGTCACAACAGCATCCTTTTTCTGTTCTGCCATCTACAGTTGTTTCTCTTCCAGCATCACAATGGCATCCTTTGTCTGATCCAGTCCTCCAGTCAGCTGAGTGGATGACCACTCCATTCCAATGTTTGCTGTTGTCCATTTGCCTTTAGCTTTTTGTGTTCAGGCTGTTCTGGATCGACATCCTTTCCCACAGGTCCTGTGCATTCTTTAGTCTGTTTTTGCCCCCCTGATCTGATCTCTTTTAATATTCCACACATCTCAGCTCTTAATTCTATCAACTGTTCATCTAGTAATTTTTGCATGATACCAGCAATCAGTGAGGCATTAAGCATTGTTTTTGCCATCTTGAGTTATATTAGTCTCCCCTTGGCAGTCTCTGCTTCCAGAAAAATGTGCCTGTTTCTTTAAATCAGTATTCCATTCTGACACAGATAACATTTACTTTTGTTTCCATGTCTAAAACAGCCCACAAACAACAGAGAATTACAGATGGTATAAATTGTAAATTTTAGACAGGATAAGAGGTACATATTGCTTCAGTTATAAACTTTCAAAGTCATCCATAGTTAAGGTAAGCTTTTTGGTCTATTTTTTGCTTGTTAATGCTTTTTCATCTTCCAGCAGTTTCTGGATGCAAATTAACTGGCAGATAGCGTATCCAATTAGTACTTACTTCCAGTCTTGTAAATAGTTAAAAGAAGGTGGTATTATCGACCTGGTGCCCTAATTTAAGAGCTATGATGCAGTGCATGGGCTTGATGAATGTTCCTCACCTGAGACACTTCTCCAATCCTGAAAACGTCTTTGTTCATGGTGTGATGAATGTCTTCTTCTGGGCCTGAGGGGTTAATCCCTGACCCCCTTATCTCAAAAGGAAGTTTTGGTGACCAAGATCTTATGCCTTGGTTGCCTTTAATCACTGCATAATTATCTCTGCTGACATGAGTGTCAGCAGCTGATCACTAGCCCACTATCATGCCTCCCCGGAAGTCAGAGGTGACCATTTGTTTTTAAGTAAGATTGTGTGTGTGTTTGTTCCAGCCCAATGAAGGAGGAAGCCTTGAGGAGAATGGGGTGAGGGACTTCCTTCACATTGCCTTTATTAGCCAATAGGTTTGAGGGAGAAGCTGCTTGGTTATGCTGGGCTTGAATTTATTTTGGCTGTTTGGTTTATTTGGCAATTAATGTGGGCAGGTAAGTGGAGTGGTACACAGTCAGTATCGTAATGCAGGGAGGGCACTTCACTTATCATCTCTCTAATGTTGGCCAGCTTAGGAGACTGCTTGATTTGCTGCTCTTGGGGCCTGGCATGTGCCACTTATTGAATGCTGAATAGTAGGGGTGTCTGGCACCTGTCAGGCTGCACACCTATGGCTTCCCTTGATGGGAAGTTGCTATTTGGCTCCTGTCACACCAGCTTGGATGATGGAGTTGATCTGGGGTGGTTTGGTTCTTAGCAGCAGGCAGAAGATTTCCTATCTGTCTGTGCAGCTTATACCTGCCTACACTTGTTAGCTGTGATTGGTGCAATTTCTTCCCTGTTCTGTTTTAATAAATATAAGCTTCATACTCTGAGTGTGCCCTTTGCATGCATGTGTAGTATATTGGAAGATTTAATTGTTTTACAGCAATTAGTCACTCTGTGCGTCAAATGAGTGGATTTGCTAGATATTAGGCTGTTTCTGAAAAACAGCTGTATGGAGTCTAAAACAGTCCCCTGAATAACACTGTTGGCTGTTGCATTCAACTGTGAACATATTTGTGCATTGCTTTTACCCCTCTGCCTGCCAGCTTTATTATACAATATCCTTGATATTTCAGATTTATCTGTAGACTGATTTTAATTTTATAGTTAGGACTATAGTATTTTCCATCACAGGGGAAAAAGAACATTGTGCAATTTTGTTTTTTTGTTATTCAAAAATGTATCCCTTGACAACACTTTGCTGTCTTGTATCTTCATAATACAGCATTATTTGAATGTTTTCCAGTGCAAATCTACTTCCATACCACTTTGTTTCCTGAAGAACATTGACTGTATTACAGACACATTGGCTAGCAATCACATTTTTCCTCTTTAACACTGTGTGATTGCATTAAAGATAAGCATCTTTTAAAAACACTGCAGAAATCTAACAGTCAGATTTAACCAAATACAAAATTTCTGTTTCTTATTTGTTTCATAAATTGTTCTGCTGCCACATGAGAACAAATAAGAAACAAACACCCTAGTATTGGTGGGATGAATGTATATTTCATATGAAGCTCTCTTTCACCAAAGTACATACTTATTAAATGGGAAAGAGTTTCCCCTTTCTTTCCTCAGATTAAGGTGTGGGACCACAAGCAAATTAAATTATGTCTCCAGGTTTTGAGTGTACCTCTTGGCCTAATCCAGTTCTCTAAAACAGCACTCCTAACCCTCTGGATTTCACATGCCTGAAGGCTAAATGCAATTATAAAAACATGACTCTTCCCAGATGAACTTTCAAATCTGCCTTGTCTCTTGTTTATTGATGGAAGATTGAAGGAAATATTCAAATCAGCCACCTTTCAATTCTTTACCAGCAGCAAAATGCAGAAATCATTAGAGTTGCTATGTCAATGGCTCTGTCCCATCTTAATATTCAACCTAGTTTGGGGATAACTTAAAAAGAAATGCAGGTCTATTCATAATGCACAGCACTTCCACATTCTTTCATTTGATATTTACAGAAGAATAGCAACAACCTGTTCATTTGGAATGCCTATTTAAAGATAGCAAAATAAAGTAATCTGCTGCAATTTTAAGTTGTTCTCAGTACTAAACATTTGCAAG